GGAACAGACAAGTTGCTGTCCTTTTGTTCTTCCGTCTAGTTGTGAGGACGCCGCTTCACTGGCCCATGTTGGTATTATGATCATTGCGTTCTCCCGGCTGAGGCAGTTGGTCGCTGGCCTTTGGATGGCTGCTCACGGCGACTCATGGCAGCTTTGCCGGCTGGCTGCTCACATTGGCTGCCGGCTGCTCATGGCAGCCCACTGCAGTCCCACTGCAGCCTACGCCATTGCCGGCCACTCACAGCAGCTCAGCTCTAGGTCAAGCTGTTGTTCACAATCTTAGCTGTAGAGAGCGCAGCATCACTGGCCTATATGGGAACCGAACCCGTGGCCCTGCTGATCAGCGCTCACGCTCCCAAGCCAACTCTTAACCAACAAGCCACTTGGCTGGCCCTTAATTATCATTTTCTTGTATGCCCCTCTATAAGAAAAGTTCAGAATAACTTTTGGTTAGAATTCTTAGTTTAAACATCAGAATCCACTTTACAGATGAAATACAATATGAATTTATTAAAGAATATCAAATGACTTACAGTCTCCTGAAAGGCCAGAGAAACAGACCCTAGAAGGATGCAGTCAGGAAAAATGCCCAAATTACATTCCCACATTGCTCATACAAGCACTCCTCATTGGACAATCACCACCATTGTCAATGTGGACACTGAACATAGTATACTACAGCTAGGACCTTGATTACATTTACCTCTAAAAGTTTGTTCTTTGGCCAAACACTGTCACCCTCATTTACATAATTCTGCATAGTATTCCTGCCCTCATGGTGTGCTGTCTTCTAAATTGAAGTCTTTCATGGATGCATCTGATTAGCAAAACCCATGTCACATGTCTGCACATAAACTGCAAGAGAAGTTGGAGAGTTTTTCTAACCCTTGCCTTGAAGAGGTAGGACTTATATTGGGGAAAAGTAACAGCTATATAAGAAGGGCGTTCAAAGTATTTTAGGCAGCCACAAATGTATCAAACACAACATCCAATACAGTTGAAAGATGAACATACCTTATTACATAACAATCCCACTCCTGGGTAGATGCCATAAGGAAACGCTAAATATGTTAGAGAAAGCTGTCACACATGGTCATGTGTTATGTAAATCCTTGTATAAAATGTACAACTATACTGCAGCATTGTTTGTAATAGTTAAAAATAGGAAACAACTATTCTCATCAATAGAAGAATGATGAATAAATTGGAGTATGTTCATAATCTGGAATAGTGTACAACAGTAAAAATAAGTGATCTAGAGTAAATCTGTCAATGTAGACAAATCTCAGATGTAGAATGTTAAGCAAAAAACAAAAGTATATTTAAAATAAATACTTTCCCATAAGATTGCCTCTTAATCTACAAATAAGTCATACTTATTAACTTTAAATATCATTACTAATAACTAGAGAATTAGCCATAAGCAGGGCATAAGCTCAGTCTATGGCAAGCTTGTATTAGAGTCCTAGAACGTCTGTGGACCACGAATGGTTAAAGCACAAAAGATCTGAATTCTATGTTTATATATTATCTATTGTTGCTTAGCACATTACCACAAACTTAGCACCTTAACAACACATTTATTGTCTCACACTTTCTGTGGGTCAGGAGTCTGGGCATGGCTTAACTAGGTCCTCTGCTTAGGGTCTCACAAGACTGCAATCAAGATCTCAGGCCTGGTTTCTTGTTAGAGGTTTGACCAGGGAGGGATCTGTTTCCAGTTTCCCTCAGGTTGTTGGCAGAATTTATACCCTTGCAGCTCTAGCAAGATGGGTGATACACTCATTTTTATATTATTACATACATATAGTAATGTACATCCCATCCTTTACCACATTCCATTGCTTAGAAACAAATCACAGGCCTTGCCCACACTCAAGGGTGGAGGAGGGAGGATTACACAAATATGTAATACCAGGATGTGAGGATCATGGGTTCAACCTTAAAGTCTGTCTGCCATTTTTAATTTTTATTTCATCATTTTTGCTCTCCACTGTCTCCTTTATTATCTCCCCCACCCCCAACCAAAGGTTAAAAAACCCCAATATGATTTTTGGTCCTTTTTTCTTGTAGTGGGCTTAAAATTGAATTCAGTGGATCCAACAATGAGCATTGATCTTAAATACTTGGGAGTACAGCTACCTTTGGCTCCAGCCACTAGCTTTCCTTTCTGGAACCTTACAGGAACCAACCCTGCCTCTCCTGGTGAGTGTGTGGTATTTATGAAGTCAAACAAATTTGTGATATAAATAAAAAGCTACCTTTGTTAGAAACAAAGTAAGTTTAGGATAGCCTAGAGTAGATCTTTTATCTAGTGGCATAGTCTTAATGATTTATACATTTCAGATAAAGTCTTAGTAATTAATTAGATAAGCCATACCCATAATCTTAGATATGGCTTACGAGGATTTTGGTCATCTCTTACTTTTTCTTTTATAGATGCTGGATTTCCCTTTGTTTCTAGAACAGGGAAGACCAATGACTTCACTAAGATCAAGGGATGGAGGGGAAAATTTCACAGTGCTTCTGCATCTAGGAATGAAGGTAATCAGCTTTTAAAAAAATTATAAATAGGTTCTGAAACATGACCACAGCCTTTTGTTAAAAGTAAGTCTTGGTGGTTTTCTTCATGCATTAAAAGAAACTGAAAATAATTGTCCTGCTGATTTTTGTCCACTCCCCGTGTTCCCATAGCCCTGTTATCAGGCTTGAATAATCCCTGCAGCCTTTTTTAAAACTACTTTACCTTTCTGTTATTCCTACAGTTATAAAAATCATCATTCTCAAGCATTATTTCAGAACTGTGTACGTCAGAGCTGTGTAATGATTCCTGATTATACTTCAAAGTAAATTTCTAATCCAAGAATGTTGACTGTATGCCTGTTGGTCTCCTTTCTTAGTGCATTTCCTTTCCCACTGCACTTGTTTGCAGTTTACACTCTAACCAGGCAAATTTACTTTGTCCAAATAGTTTTTATCTTTGAATCTTCATACAGTGTTGTAATAGTATAATGCTTGTCTCTCTACTAAACTTTCCCTTTTGTTCCTTAAAAACTAAATTTTATACTCCTCTTTTTGAGCCCTTACTACTTCTGTGTTTTGTATCAGAGTCCAGTTATTGTAAACTTTTGGCATTCTGTTGAGGTCTGATTTAGGTATATTTTTTGCTCTTAAGTTGTTATTTATGTGTGGTCTCTATACTAAGGTCATAAGTTGTCAAAATTTGTAGACTCTTACCTTACTGTTAATTATTACTGTTAGCACTTTGCAAAAATTAATGCTAAATATATATAGTAAGATAATTTTAGATAATGGATTGTAATATAATTAGTGTATGACATTTAATCTCTTTACTTGGTTTTATATTTTTTCTTCTGAGGAGGGACAGTTTAGAAGATTCAGTAGCTTATCTTAATGTTCTTAGCCTTTTTTAGTGTATTTTTCTAGAGTTCTAAGGATCTGTCTTAGATTTCTTTAAGCATCTGTATTTCTTTATTTATAGGTGGAAATTCAGAAGGTTCACTGAAAAACCGTTCTGCTTTCTGCAGTGATAAGCTAGATGAGTACTTGGAAAACGAAGGCAAGCTGATGGAAACAAGTATGGGTTTCTCTTCCAATGCTCCCACATCTCCTGTAGTATACCAGCTTCCCACCAAGAGTACCAGCTATGTCCGAACACTTGATAGTGTACTAAAGAAGCAATCTACCATTTCCCCTTCTACCTCTTCCTCTTTGAAGCCTCATTCTGTACCCCCTGCCTCTCGAAAGGCAAAGTCTCAAAACAAACAGGCATCTTTGGGTGGCCGAACTAAATCATCTTATAAATCTATTTTACCATATCCTGTTTCACCAAAGCAGAAACACACTCATACGGTTCCAGGAGATAAGGTTACCAAGACTTCTTCAAGCACCATCTCAGAAAATCAGGTGAATAACTTTGTTGTGCCAACTTTAGATGAAAATACATTCCCAAAGCAAATTAGTTTGCGGCAGGCACACCAGCAGCAACAGCAGCAACAGGGAACCCGCCCTCCAGGCTTATCTAAATCTCAAGTGAAGCTAATGGACCTGGAAGACTGTGCTCTTTGGGAAGGAAAACCAAGGACCTATATCACTGAAGAGCGAGCAGATGTATCCTTAACAACTCTGCTTACGGCTCAAGTAAGTATCTGTTGTTTTCCAGAAGCATCTTAGTTCCTGGCTAGAAAGAATTAGTTTAGTGAGGAGAAATTGGAGTGGTGCTTTTTGGCAGGTAGATTGGGCATTTTGTTACCTAGTGACAACGAAGGAGATGTCTTCCACATTTGTTCTTTATCAACTGGTAAACACCCAAGTGTAGATCCCTCCTGCCAGCAGAGGGAAAACAGTACAATTATGCTTTTGAATAATGTTCCTCTTCTGTATAAAGGCAGCTTGCCATTCTGAAAGTCTCTAATTTCATTCTTCAGTATATGGGCAAGCACATTTGTTGATCTTGTTAAAACACCTTTGAAAATTCTGCTTAAAGGGTACTAAATCCCCCCCCCATCCAAAAAAATCATAAACCTGTGAAGAATAGCTTTTGTCTTTTTAAAAATTTTACATTAAGAATTTTCATTTATTGATTCACCTATCTTAGCCTCTGGTGTATGTGAAGTGACAACAAAATGTGGATAATTTTCTTGTAATGAAATTTCTATACCTTCCATTTTTTAATTCTGTGACTAAATTTTAGAGCTGAAGATCATCAGATGTTGGGACTAAATACAGAATGTGTATTTTATTATTAATCATTCCTAAAGACTTTTATGCACATTTGTTGTTACTCCCTCCTTATTAATTACTATAGAGCAGGAATCAGCAAACCGTTTCTGTAAAACAGATAGTAAATATTTTAGGCTTTGTGGGCCATCTACTCTCTGTTGCAGTTTCTCAACCCTGCTGTTGTAATACCGTAGACATTATGTAAATGAATGAGTCTGGCTGTGTTCCAGTGGAACTTGATCTATGAAACTGGCTGGATTTGGTCCTTGGGCCTTAAGTTGTCAACCCCTGCCCTAGAACATTATGTGTGATTTCTAATGAGACTAAATTCATCCTTGTTGCTATTTTGGCTTATAATTAATTAAAAATTTTATTCTCTTGTCTGCTATGCATTTGATTGAGCGATTGCTCAAAGTCCTGGTTATATTCATTTTCTTTCCCTTGAATCTGCCTTAATCTTGTGCTGTTAGTAAATACTGAGTGCTAAGAGAAGAAGGCAGACCAACATATGTCAGTAAGTTGTTGGTGGTGTTCGGGGATGATTTAGTAGATTTACAATTTTCTGCGTTCACTTTAGGCATCTCTCAAAACTAAACCCATCCACACAATCATAAGGAAACGAGCCCCTCCATGCAACAATGACTTCTGTCGATTGGGTTGCGTATGCTCCAGTCTAGCTTTGGAGAAGCGCCAGCCTGCTCACTGTCGCCGACCAGACTGCATGTTTGGCTGCACTTGTTTGAAAAGAAAAGTTGTGCTTGTTAAAGGGGGATCCAAAACTAAGCAATTCCAGAGGAAAGCTGGTCATCGTGCTGTAGCATGTTATGATACTTTGGGAGAGGAGCAAAGAGAAGAAGAAGAGGGAGTCAGAGAAGAGGAAGAACAATTGAAAGAGAAAAAGAAGAGAAAGAAGCTGGAATACAGTGAGTATTCATTGCGAGTTAAAAAGTATAGTTTTATTTTTTAGAAAAGTATGGTTGCCTGAAAACCTATTTCAAATAGTATTACTATTACTTGAATCCTGATATATAATCTAATCTTACTATCCTTATTATGCTCTTTCTATATGGCATATGTGCTACACACACATACACCTCTTTTTTAAATAGAATTTTTCTTTTGAAGATGGCTTTTTTTGTGATAAATTTGGATCATTCTCTCATGTGGACTTCCAGAATGCCTTTAAACTGTCATCTATTTTTCTGTCTTTCCTCCTGCCACCATCCCCCAACCATTTCCTTTGACTATACAGATGATCAATATAGTCCATCATTTTCTCCTTCCCGCAGCTATATTGAGGTATAATTGACAAATAAAATTGTACATATTTAAAGTATACAACATGATGATTTGGCATAATTATACATAATGAAATGATAACCACAATCAAGTTAACTAACAAAGTTTATTTTCTAAAAAAAATTTGCAGGAAGACCCTTTGATTGTGGTTTGAGCCATTAACCAGGGGGCTGGAGATTTGGGGACAGAGTAAAGGCATAACTGAGTTGAGCATTATGAATTCTTTTGAAAAGCTCATTTTTCCATTTTGATAAAATACTATGTAGACCAAGTTACATATTATTTCATTCATGACCATTTTCTCTTCCTACTGTATCTTTTTAAAAAAATATATATTGAATATAAATTTCTATGTAATTGAAGAGTTTCTTTTTCTTTTTTTTTTAAAGATTTTTTTATTGGGGAGTTGGGTGAGGGGAACAGCGCTGGGGAATCGGGGAAAGGGGAACAGACAAGTTGCTGTCCTTTTGTTCTTCAGTCTAGTTGTGGAGGACGTCTCACTGGCCCAAGCTGGCACCATCATTGCGCTCTTCCCGGGTGAGGCAGATCAGTCGCTGGCCTCTGGACGGCCGCTCACGGTGGCTGCTGGCCACTCACGCTGGCTGCC